TATATATATATAAATAAAATATAGATGATTTGAAATGTTAAAAGCTTAAATTCTTAACTTTCAAATGTTAAAACTCTTAAGACATAAATACTAGTATTTTAACGTGTATCAAAATACCAAAATAGAATGATCAGATTTTAATTTTTTACTTTAATAGCCTATATTTCTGTCTTCATTTATATAGTTAAAGATACTATATAAAAACAAAGTTTTATTTTCTGTTCTGTTTATGTTTATGTTCTGTGAATCAAAACAAGGCTGGCAAAGAAGTTACAAACCGTTGATGCGGCACCAGGATGTTGTTGATGCCGCCGAGTTTGACGTTGATTTTGAGGCAGAGGTTGGAGAGCGTCTGAGGCGAGGTTTTCACCACATTCTTCACCTGAACACACTGAGTGGCCATTCCCAGCAGAGTATCTCCTACACGCTTCACTTCCGCTGGAGAGGCACAAAATCACTTTAGTATCACAGTAGGGCTGGGTGATATGGCCAAAAAAATTATCACAATAATTTTTTTCATACCAGTTAGTCTGAGGGCGTTTGGCAGGAGGGCGGATCTGCTCTGTGCGTGCCGTTCTTACCGTAGACGGGTGTTTTTCCAGGCAGGATGACGATGATGAGCTGCAGTCCGGAGTAGGTGTTCTTCAGGTGTCTGAACATGGGCTCCACGCTGTCGGCTCCCTGTGCGTACTTACAGAAACACGGCTGACCCTGGATCGGCATCCCAGCGTCCTTTGAGATCTTACGCAGCTGGTCCGTGAAACCCCTGTAGCAGTAGTAGCAGTATATTTTTATTTAATGCCATGTAAGCATCTTTTTCATGGCAAAATTTTCAACAATAAAAAAAAAAAAAATGCAAGTATAACAAATACAATAAAAACCAGCAAACAAACAAACACAAGTTATATTACACAAGATTTTTTACATTAACAAAATTATACTAAATAACTCTTTAAGTGAATTCACTTCATAAAAGAGTTTTCTACATACATTAAAAGCTGGACAGTCCAATAAAATATGTTTGACAGAAAGGGGAATCTTGCAAAACATACACTGAGTAGGGCCTTCACCTTTAAGCAAAAATGCATGAGCCAGTCTTGTATGACCTATGCAACATCTGGTAAATAACACTTGATCAAATCTAGTTTTAAAAGAGATAAAAAATCTGTTTCCGGATGTATTTCATGTAATTTGTGAAACCCCTGTAAGGAGAAATGTAATTAAGAAACATCTAAGTGTTGAATGTACTGCACTGGTGATAAAACCAAAACCACAATATTGCTTAGTGCAATTATCAAATCACAAAGGCTGCGATTTAATTAATAAGTATATGCACTGCGTGTTTTAGAGTGAAGCACCGTATTGTGTTCATACCTCCTTGTGGTTTTGCATCAAAATATAAAACAATTTAATTAAAATAAAATTACAATATAATAAATTATATTATTTTTCTGAATGCTCCTTTTTTATTTTACAGTTAAGCATTGTTACTTGTTATTTATTTAGTATTTTTACTTTTTATTTAGTGTATCTTTGAAATGTTTTATTGTATTATTATTTATTGTGAGGAGTGGGGTGAGGCTGGTGGAGTTTAATGATAAATTAACGAGCGACACCTGCACCACTCACCGGTCTCGAGTCCCACGGAGGAGCTCCGGAAAGATAAAAGGAGGAGTGACAACAGTGCAAGACGAGAGAGGACCAGGCCTGGACCTAGACTTTATTTTGTGTTTTGTGTGCGGCAGTTGTCCACGAGGGGCTGCAGCTTTACTTTCGTTTTGTGTTTGTCTATTTTGATTATTAAATTATTTGAATGTTCGCCAGTTCCTGCCTCCTCCTTCCCATATCTATAAACTGTGTTACATTTATATTATCATTATATTATTTTTCTTAAATACTCAACTTATTTGTAGTACAGTGAAATATTACAGCGGCAACATTTATGTTTTTTTTATTTAGTAATTAAATATACATTTAGTATTTTTACTTATTTTGTATAATATTAAATATATTTTCATATTGTCTTATTTATATTATTATTATACAGTATATTGTATTATAATTATATATTATAACTATATTATTATTATCCTTTTTTAATTCTTGATTTTACAGTGAAATACAGTATTACAATAGTAACATTTCTTATTTTTATTCAGTAATTTCTACTATTTATTCAGTATATTTTAAAATAATTTTATTATTATTATATTTTCTTAAATGGACAAATTTTTATTTTACAGTGAACTATTACAATAGTAACATTTCCTATTTTGTTTTAATTTAAATAATTTAGTAATTTTACTACAAAAGTAATGTTTTTATTTAGTATTTTCTATTTTATTTTTTATTATTTTGCTATTAATACTACTACTACTAATAATAATAACAATATAATTATTTTATAGCCATGCTGATATTTATTTATTTTATGAAATTTTGGTCAAATTATGCAGCCCTGCAAACAAACATGGATTTTTTCTTAAACCGCATTTTAAAAATCACAATTGCAATTTTTATTAGAAAATATGCGGCCCTGATACTTTTAAGCCAGAAGTAAGCCAGTGTTGACAGTCAGTAAGTTGTGGAGTCTTACTTGAGGATCTCTTCTCTGCACTGTCTCTGTGTGGCGAAGCAGGCGATGGCCCACATCTTGATCTCCACCCCGGTGTGGAACTGTTTCCCTCTCATGTCCCAAACTCCATGGCTGGGTGTGGCTACAGTGCGGTTCTGTAACGACAGCTCAAGGTTGATCTGCTGCACAGGACGTGTGAGAGCACAAACACAACAGCATACGTCTGACACTGACACTGAACGTGAGGAACTAATAAAGCTGCCCAGTGACTGAACTCAAAGAACTGTACAAGTACATTTCACAAAACAATCCTGTATACAGGGAAAATCTGAGACAATTATAACACACATAAAAATCTGAATCATAAGCTAGCATGATTACTACATTTCTACATTTTTGAAAATCAAATACTTGTGCTCACAATTATGTAAACATCCAAATTTTTATATATTATATGCACCACATATTTATAATCATTTTATATTATTATACATGAAAACTTATAACAATATTTAGAACAATTTTGTGAAAATCACTCAAAGTCGTATA